CCCATAGAGGCTTATATTCTTGAAGAAATAGGTTGATGATAGTTGCTATTGTGATCATAAAAATTTGGTGACACATCCTTTATTTTGATCTGAATTTATGTTCATTGATTTGCATGCATACATACACACATGTATACTTATTACCTAATGTGGACCAGTATATGAGCTTGAAAGTAAAATGTGTAATCAAGCATGATATAAGGAAATGCTTCTAGTTGAAGGTAAGTCTAGCAGACATGCAGAAAGTGATGATTCTCCTACTATATGCTTATAAAAAATTGTCTTCTAACAGAATATAACTATTATTGTCCATCAGATCACCACGAAGGATTCTGAGCTACTTCAGATATCCAAACTTTAGTTAAGGTAAAGCATTCCCCCCATTGCCTGTGGGCTCATGGCTTGGGACGTGTGTGTACCTTAGAAGCAACGCTGTGATGGAGAAACTGTGTCAAAACCTTTCGTTCAGAATCTTTTTTTTTCCCCCCCTAACTTACACAATTTTTGGGCAGTGTTTTTGATTATCACAAAATTTAATACAGGATATATCAGGTAATATGATTCCCAACATACACTTAGCAGACTGATGCTCTTGTTGGAAACATCTTTACAGTGCAAATTTGTATCAGGTTTAGTAACATTACACTTCATTACTAGGTCAGGTTGAACTTCTGAAATATCAAAACTATAGTTCCATTTACACATTCTTTCTTCTTTGTCTATGTATATAATATTTAGGTTTTAGATTGAAATCAGTAGAAGAGAAGTTTCAACTTGTATAGTATTTGATATTGCAGCAAAATTCTAACATTTTTAATGATGAAAGGTATGGACCCAAGTGTCATCTCCTTTGTGACTAATATATACTTTTTTCTTTTCTTTTTCTTGTAGCAGCCAAAGCCTGTGTGTGCACTGAACTATTTTCTTAGACTTGTGTAATGCAGGATCTATTTTTTGTGGAATGTAATAGGTTTTATTCCAGTAATCTCTCCTTCTCCGTGGCTTTTTATTTCATTCTCTAGTGCAGTGGTTCTTATTTTTCTTAGTTATTTAGTCCTATGTATGATGTGTCTTCCCCTATCCTACAAGTGAGAGTGTGCTCAATATATGCATATCCACTTTAACCTGTTGATGCCAGAAATAAGCATTTTCCACTATGGTTCAACTTTATTTATTCATTTATTTACACAGTGATTGCTTCACAACTTTTTTTTTTTACCAATGATTGTTACTTACCTTAACTGGACTCATTTGCTTACCACATTCATTGAATTTGTTGTCAAAAACATATTTCCATTACTATTATCATTATAATAACATGAAAATTTATTTTTTCCCTTGTGCTGGACCATGTTACATTCATTTTTTTCAATATTGCTGAAACATGATCATCAAATAATAAAGGTCCATAAGTAAATTAGTCATCTCACATATTTACCCCCTTATAGAAAAAGGGGGAAAAGAAAAATTGGCAGACAGTGCATGGCATAGGCACCCCTAGCTTCATAAGATAAAAAAAAAATTGTCAGCAATATCGTTTTCCCAGATGAAATGAATATCTCCCGAGCACCTCATGCATAAAGAAAAAGAAAAAGAATAAATGCACTGAATTCCTTGATATTGGGAACCACTGCTCTAGTATTCATCTACTTGAATGCATTGTATTTGCATAACTCACAACAAATGTCTCGTGCAAAACTAAAAATCAACCAGTGAATATTTACTAACCCTCTGGCTGCTTTTGACTTACATTGTAGGAAAGAAAGTACTTGTTGCTACTTAAATCCTATATCATTTAGTGTGGGTGATATAGGGGTTTGCATAATCATAGAACATTATTTGTTAATTAATTATAGCTCAAATTATCAGAATCAGAAATTTATAAACAATAATTCTAAGTAATTGTCTTTTGTTTGGGGTACAATTGCTTGATTTGCATTTTCTTTTTATTTCTTGCCCTCATATATTCATATTTATGACATAAATGCAGAACCTTAAGTACATGGTTTACAGTTTTTAAGAAATCCGCTGTATTACATGTCATTCAAAATTTGCTGGTAAGGTTAATTTTTTTGGAAACAAAATACAAAATCTGTATTTAAAATGTTTTATTGTTTTGTTTTGATCACTTCTTTTTTGTAGTTGAAAAATAGTAGTTTGTTAGTGCATGAACAGACATGATAGGCTTAATTTACTAAATCTCATATTTGCCATTTTAATTTTCGCAAATTTCATCATTCTGGAGAAAATACAGTATAATGGTCTTTGGAATGCTTTTGGGGAAGACAGTTTTATTGTTACAACAATTTTTTTTTTTTATTGGTGGTTGAAAGAGCATATAAAGACTAAGCTAAATTATAAAATGAAAGTCCTGTGTGTAGTGATAGTTTTGCTTCTGCAGTAATAGAAAGGGAAATAACAAGAAGTAGATTGAATACAAATAACCTGATTAAAAGCAGATAATTTGTGTTGATATGTAAAATGAGATATAATCATAGTGCTGGCAGTAGCCTTGAACTATTGCACTATAAATATAGGATGATGATGTTATGTGGGTGTAGTCTGTCTTGAGTTTGGATGTTCTTCAAGTTGATCTGTTGAAGGACTGACCATTGAAATTAATAACCTGAGCTTGTGCAAGTGATGTGCTGGACCAGGTCACATACATTTTTCTTAGTACACCTGAAACGTAACCAACTAATAATATTTTTTCATTCCAGCTCATCGCTTGGAGACGTAACCAAGAGAACTGCCCCCCTCCAACCTGTATATATGTAATGTCCACTGCCCTTGTTCTACATGTATATACTGTAACTCGAGACTATGTGTTCTGTTATCCTTGAAGATTTTAAAAGTTATATATGGTTGTATGAATATTGAAAATATGTATATTTAGTCAATATAGTGATAAATCTAATTGATAAGACAGGGAAGCACAAATGTTTCAGAGAATTGTAATTGACAGGTCAGTTGATGTGCTTTGACAGTCAGGAACCTGGTGTGATTATGCATTTGCCATATCAATGTGAGTTAATTTTTAATGAATTGCTCATAGTCCGTGTAACAGTAATATACCATTTTGTAAATTTGAACTTTTATCTACTCTGCAGTGGCATTTGCTTCCACTTCATGTCCCTATAAAATAAGTGTTTAGTATTGCTCAAAATACTAAGCAGCTAATTTATGGACATTCCGAACCAGTTTCCAAATAGATGTGTGTGAGATCAGGTTTCAGTTCAGCTTCATGGCTTTCTGGCTGAACCTGCAAGAAGGGAACCAATTGGCTGTCCTAGACGGGGCTCAAGGAGATTTTCAGCTCATTAGTTTCTATACATGTACTGTATATTTCATCATGGATCATGAAAATAAAATATGGACTAGAGTACATTACTTGAAATGACTTGTCTCATTAACCTATCCATTATAATAAAAATGTTTTAATTTAAAAGTTGTATACTTGTCTCATTAACCTATAATTACAATAAAAATGTTTTAATTTATGAGTTTTCTAGATGATGTTCCACTTTAAATTATACCAAACCAAAATCAACTAAATTTAAAAGTAGCTATCTATACTTCATTTCAGAGCAGCTCCAAATTTGATTAATTAGTAACAATTAATTCGTAAAATTAAGAAATATCTAATGTTTATAAAAAGGATCTGTATCTCTAAAATTTCAGGGCCTTTCTATAAATATCAAACTTTAAAAGGAACACACGACTACAAGAATACACACTGTAGAAAAAAATCACATATAAACTGATCTTACTTCTTACATATTGCAAATGTCATACATAAACCAGTTTTCATTTGACACCTTTATGGCTATCACAGGCTATTTTAATTGAAACTCTGGCACAGAACAATACTTTTTCATATATATACAAAAAAAGAGAAAGAAAGAAAAGGCAAAATTGCACAAAACCAAATTACACCACACATTACCTGCAGGAAGTTCACACACTAATCCTCTTGCTACCAGACATTCAAAACATGCTAAACAATGGTGCAATAAGATCTTAATATCATTCAAGCCTACACTAATCATCAGGTGGTGGAGGTGGAGCTGATGCACTGGTGGAAGAGACCGAGAAGCACATCTGTGACTCAGGTGGAAAGTGTTGGGAGGAGGGTGTTGCCTGAGGTGGTCCACCTGTGGCTCTGTTTTTAGCTGTTGAGGTGAGGTGGTGGAGTAGTGGATTTGGAATCAGGTCTGTCACAAGCTCTGACAGAAGGGTGGTCACGTCTGATATACAGTGTGTTGGGTCCTCCACAAACTGTAAGGAAATTACATCCCATTACAATGGAATGGAATAATTTTGAAGTAAGAAAATAAGATGCTGGAATTCAAAATAATTTTAGAATAATATGAATATTGTAGTTAGCAAAACATACAAATCAGAATATCTAAATAGCTCATCTGAATTAACACCTTTTTAAAATGGGGGTATTGTATGATATTTTATCTTTAGAAAATTTGTCTACAAAACATATAACTTGAGTTTCATACTGAATAAATTTAGTGCAAAATAAATAATCCTCTTCAGCAGGTGTGTATATACACATTAGTGTCTTGTGAAGCAGACATAATGCAACTTCTTTGTGAAGCTACACTTAACCCCCCAGTGACAGGTAAGGCCATAGACGTCATGACGTAACAGCCTATGATGTGTATATGCTTGGCCCAGCTGTACGCAGATTAGGCCAAGCCACAAAGTCTAGACTATTGCATGGGGTTAATGTCATAAAAACAGGTTTATTTAAACTATGTCACATTTTAACATATTTTCTGGAGTTCAATTGATAATAAGCAGTTTCTAAAGAGTTTGTACATGTGAGTGGCTTCCAAGCACCAATTTTTACTCAGCAGCCAAGCTGTGCGATTAGGTAAATTGTGATGAAACATATTTGAAAAATCTTGTGGCGACAGGCTTAACGCACTAGCACCGGTACATTTTCAAGCCAAAAATAATAGTTTCCAGGTAGCTCCAAAACTGACGCACGGGCCAGTCCGGGAATCCGCCACCCGCCATGATCGACAAACTGGTGGGACACCCGGATTTTTTTTTTCGGGTGTCTCACATGTGAAACACCCAACGCAAGTGGGCCAATAGTATTTGTAAATCAAATGCATTCACCCAAATGTGATGTTCACTGCAGTATTTTTTAATGAAATATACCGACATATGATGGCTCCACAATTGCTCAGCCATCAAGGAGTCAATTCGTAATCTATGTCTCCTCACCTGAGTTTTCCCATGTGAGTTTTGGGATTTTTTATTTCCCTCATGCAATTAATATTGATGCTGTTATTGATGATGTTGTTGTTGTTATTATTATTATTACTATTATTATTATTACAGTGTTATTAACAATACTAATAGCAATAAAATATTCAAAAAATATTTCCAAAAATCAAGGTGACTGACTCATTGGTGACTAAGCCCTTACGAAACCATCTATGTGTAAATGCAATAATTTAACTAAACTCATTGTGGGCAAATCATGTCTCTATATGCCATATCCCTGGCATCACATTAACACTGACTCAACAAAATAATTCTATACACTACCTGTATGGCTTTTGCCAGAGAGTGGCTTACTCCGGCATAAGTTGCATTTGCAGTAAGGCCCCTTAACTGTTCCAAAGTGCACCGATCATTCTTGATGCTGTCTTGAGTTTCATCTATGTCACTGCAGATGAAATAGTAGTATCAAACTCAAAAGAGACATTCCATTTAGTTTTTATAGAAATATTACCTTAACCTTAAAGGTTGCTACTTATGCAGATCACTGTGACCCCTCAATTTCTCGTAGGGAAATTTTTTTGTATGTAGTTTAACTTTTTTCTGATCCTGATGTGTGGGGCCCAAAAGTTTTGAAAAATATAAGTGAGATACCAATTTACCCCACCTATGTTTTTTTGTACTTTAGATCAGGTGGGTGAGTATGGATTTTCTACATGAGAATGTGTTTTTCATGCTTAATAAAATTTATCAATCAGACATCAAATAACCAAGTTTAAAAAATGCCTGGTTTTTATCTACCTGTATGAGTTACAAAAAATTCTATGACCCTCAATTCAGTGACACTTGATGCAAGTCAACTGTCTTTATTTTCTAGATGCTTTTTTACTATTATTTGTAGGCTTTAGAATACATTACCTTCAGAGATTGTAATGTCTCCGACTCTTGATAAGTTTAAAATATCTGTTAATATGTTTTTACTAAGTAAATAGCTGATGATTTTCTATCTTCTCTTTCTTAGCTATGTTTTGACCTGCACTAACACCCTTGGTGGTATAATTCTCAAAATTTTCAGTGAGGCTCTTTGTATTGCTAGCCATAATAATTATAGGCACTGTTAGCATGATGTGATGGATGTGAATAGGTGACTAAAGGACTAGAAGGCATTTTTTTCTATACCAGAAAATGTCTTGTGTTGATACTAAACAGCGAAAGGATGACGTTTGAGAAAGGTACCACACGTGTGGGGTGGGAGGGAGTGCTGCAATGAGTGGCCAAGAGAAAAGAGTGTGAGATGGGGCTTGCTATGTCTTGTATACTCTAGAGGAGTTTAAGATGATGGAGCACCTATAACTACTAAAGTTAGAGTATAAAATGATCAGTGTGTATGTGGGGGAAGATGGTTATTATGGCTTCCCTGGACTATATACTCCCCAAATTATTGGATGCACATGATGGAGGCCAAAAACACATAATCTGCACATCAAAGCACCAAAAATATTCTTCTTTGTTTTCTGCAGTTTTTGCTCTCTAGATGCCACTCATCTTTTAGGTGTTAATAATTGCTGGAGAATCTATCTATCCAAACAAAGTCCTACCTGTGGGTGTGAAGAGGATGGGTACGGAAAACTCCTTCCTTTGGCATCTGTAGGTTCAAGAATGTGCTGAGTGCACGGCAAATCAGACGAATGGCAAGGGAAAGTGGGGACTGTCTTCCAAGGCCTATAGCTGCTAGGATGCCTGTGGTGCTTCGGTCCTCAGCCCAGAGTGCCAGATGGGAGATGAAGTTACGGCAATGTTGCCAAAGGGCACTGGTATTGTCCTTTTCCTTTACTAAATGTACAATGAGATTGAGGATTTCACTCAATAACAGGATGAGCTCCAATTCAGTTGTTTCACTGTTGGGGAGAAATTGTAGTAAGCCATGTTACAAAGTTATGTGCATCATTCTTAAGTATTTTGGACATTATGAAAGATTTAATACATCTAGAAAATGTATGTAATTTGAAAATACAAAGCCTTTTGAAATGTAAAACAACCAGTCAACACAATACTATCATAATATGTTTTGCATGTAAACCTCCATATGTGTTTAATATTATATCATACAATAAAGATATCCAGCACTAGATGCTGCTGCTGCTGATGATGATGATGATAAAAAAAATTAAGCATATGTTGAACATTCACTTTCTTTGCCATTCATTATTAACAATAATAACTTCTTTGACGGAATAAATTCAAAAAAAAGAG